GCTTTTAATTTTTTAAAATCATTATTGCCAATTAATGCGTCAAAATGATCATGCCATTCCATGACTAGGCATTCAAATGAATAATTGATATTAAAATCTTCTAAAATGGGATACTTTATGCAAGTGTCATTTGTTACTTTTTGCTTTAAGCTAGTCACTTCGAATTTCTTTTTGAATTGAAAATTTGAAAAATAATTTGAGACTGGTCCTGGATTAATAATCGAATTACTTGCTCCAGAATCAATAAGAATTTTTAAATTAAATTTTGGAATAATTATGAATGGTAGTCGCGGTTTTGACTGAATAGTGTTCAAGTCTAATGTTGGTTGTCCGAGGCTTCTACGCAAAAATCCGTGTTTTGATTTGTATCGGAAAACATACGGTCTGTTTCCTCATATTCGTCTTCATTATGCATCTCGTAGTTTTGTTCGTCTTGTTCTGTTTCATTTGTTTGTACATTATAGAGCTCCTCAGATATAAAGTTAGGAGGTCCAGTTTGTTTAAAATAGTTATTATTATTCACTCGACTCGGTACCCGATTTGTTCTGGCTGTAGAAACAGACATCGGCGTAGGAGCATTATTTTTATTGTGTCCAAAAACTTGGGAGTTTGTTGGATAGTTTTGTTTATTTATAATTGGTTTTGGCATGTTAATTGGTCCGCGTGGAAAATTCTGATTTCCGACGTAATTTTGTTGATGTGAAATTTTATTTGCCGATTAGTAAATTGCGCATTACTAGAATTTGAAACTTGAGTATTTTTTCTTGCCGGTTGCTGCGCAGTTCATAAAAGATGTTTGAGTCATATGATTATCGAAACGTCGGCATTCGTAGATGCACGCTTCTAAGGTGTCACAAGCTACGTTTAGCAAATGAGCACAATACGGCTCCGTTACACCAGCCTTAAATGTGGCTAACGCTTGGCCTTCATACATGGTAATTTTATGCTGTCTTATATCAACGTTCGCTGTCCTTAAGGACACGTGCTCGGTGAGAACGCGGAGCTTGCGTTTTACATCTTCGTAATATAACTCGTAGGTTTCATCTTGCTTTTGATAACACGTCGTGAGATCATGGACAAGAAGCTCTTCCGAACGCGGATCGCCGTACTTTGCAACTAACGCGTTTTTAAGATTTGCCCACGTATCACAATTAGCACTTATTAATACTTCTCTCGCTTCACATTTGATTTTTGATTTAATACTCTCGAATATAATTCTATTGAATAAGCACTCTGGAGGATCCCTCCTTAGTAAATTTAAGAAAGCTTCCGCTTGTTTTAAGAAATAAGGCAAGTTGAATTTCGATATTACCCGGTTGTGCCATTGTATTTTCTTCTTCTAAATTATATAAAGTTCGAACCGGACTTCGACTTCTATTTCTATTCACGGACATTAACCAATGTAGGTTCTTGTCTTTTTATAAATTTTAACAATTGTATGCTTTATGCGTTATATAATAGGAATAAAAAGGAAAACGTCGACTTACAGCAAGATCTGCGCCATTAACATGTCGGATAAGTCGTTCTGTGGAAGGTGCGATGTGGCCAACGGTCCTTCCTCGCAGGGGTAGATGCCCTCGTTTTAGTAAAGTTTATGTCTTCGAAGTTGAGAGATTTGATAATCACCGGTTTTTTGGTTTAATTAACACTACCGTACCGATTATCCTACCGGCTGCGCCAATTATATTGAACACTCGGATGAGTTTAAAAATAAAACGTTTATTGTTACTTGAGTTATATCAAATTATAAAATTTGACAAATGTCTTATACTACTTGACTTATCTAGTCGAGCTGCTAATAATAAGTGACGCTGCTTGGCAACGCGCGCCATAAGAAGTCGCGAAGAATGCTGACTCTACAACTTAGTGTTAAAAATAATTAATACTATCAATCAAACTTTGGTAATATAAAGTATAGTTTTAAAAAGTGGCACCTAGTACCGGACACATATTTGGGGCATACCCCTCTCACCGGACATTTCAAATATGTCATATGGTTAGGGAGGCTACCTTGTTTGGTATTATTTATGGGGCGGTGGGGGTGGGGTGATAGAATTTAACGATTTAATCAACGGATTTAACACACTGACTAGAAGCAGCCCGTGAATGCATACATCCACTAGCTAATGTGTTCATTTCAGTTACAATGAATACTTTAACTACGAATTTTAGCGAATGTATGCATTGACTAGTAAATGTATACATTTACTAAATGTATGCATTGACTGCAACATAGCCATCTCCTCACTCTCTCTCTCTCTCACAAGAAATATCAATAAGTTTACTGTCCGGCGCTAAGGGACAACTTAGTGTTCGGTGCTAAGGGACAGACATTTTCGTTCATTTGGTGGTACCTACTAAAATTGTTTAAAAAATCTAATAATATTCTACCATTTTACGGATAACAATCAAGTAGGGGAGAGGGGGGCAAAGTGGGCCCCATAAGCAAAAAAAGGGGATTTGTTTACCTTTTTTCACTCCTTACCCTATTTTTTACATCCTTGTTCAGTATTCAATATTAATAAGCCGTGTCTATCAAAATAAAAAAAAATTCAGAATATGGGGCAAGTGGGCCCCCGCCCATAAAAATTTTGCTATTACCTTTGTATCCATTTTTTGCTTATATATATTTTTTTTCATTTCTTACTTCGAATTTGTTGATGTGAGTTATTTTCCCCTCTTATTTACCTGAATTTCAGGCGCCCACTTTTCCCCCAGGGGCCCACTTTGCCCCCCCTTCCCCTACTACTTGTATCTTTGAATACCACTCAAATGTAAATGCATAAATATACTAGAATTACTTACATTGATATTTAGGTGACGTCGTGATTTTGCGCCTGAAACAGCAAACGGCTGCTCCCGCCGTGGCCGTGTGCGTTACTGGCGAGCCACGACGAGTGATCCTGTACCTGTGTGCCCCCCGCGCCCCTTTCACTTGTTTTTTGAAATGAAAAGATTTAAACTAGCTTAAATAGTACGAGTGTCCGGTGCTAGGTGCCGTCCGGCGTTACGGGACTTCCCCCTAAGACTTAGTTTTATCACAAAACCCCACACATTCCAGCAAGAACAAGGAAAATTGGATTGCTGAATGCAAATAGAAAACAATTATATTTTATATCAGAAAATTATTGTTCAAACAACGAGAACTTGCACAAACTAATATGACCACCAAATTGTCATGGGTGATAAAGGGAAATGAATATATAGAGTGCAACAAAAAGAAAAGCACTATATTATAAGAGAAAATCCAAACATCAAATGCCAATTTTTCCCGTGATATTAAAAAACTAAAGAAAATCACAAAATTCAAAGAGGAGGAGGTCGGCATGCTACAACTGTAGATTAATTTTCACATGATGTCATGGGAAGTTAGCATATTGGGTGTTACAAAAAGAATACATATTTATTCTAATGTGTAGGTAATACTGTTCGGGCCAAGTCCGACAAACGTATCGAAAACGCGACGAAGTGTTATCATTTGCATTTGGCAAACACCTGCCAGGGGACAGTTGCAATTATAAGCTTTGTTCTCGCAGTTCACTCCAGACTGCAGCTGCATCATTCTTGCAACGTTAGCAGGAATGTTCCCAAGACCTGCATTTGCTTCAGTTATGAAATTCATTCGCTCTTGAGCTCTTTTGCAAGTTACACGGTAAATAAATCGTAAAATCAGCGAGAGTTTTGTTCACTGCATACCTCATCCACCACATCACTATTTTGCCATGGAGCGCGATGTTAGACCGGCTAAACTCAGTCAGAGTCGCTTGAGCATCGCAAACAAAAATCGGGCAACCGTCTTCAGAACCAGGAGGACAAGCTACGCAGGTTTCGCCCCCAACAAATACTAACTATTAAAAGGAAAGTACATGAAAACTATGTTTTTTCACAGTTTTCTCTGTATCTCACAGCAATTTATTATACCAGGTAATTAAAAAAGAGAATTCAAAGAACTTCAAGACAAACTCTGAAAATTTTTGAATTATAGGTAATTTTGCTGATGGTTGAGAGGATGATAGAGAAATAGGTAAAACAAAAGAGTATAAATTTTATTGTAGATCTTATTAAAAATAATAATTAGTTTTAGGTTATTAATTTCAAAATACACAGGGAAACCCGCAGCCTGCGGCCGACGGTAAAAGTGCAGCCGACGGCATGCAACAATGTTGAGTTATTAAACTACCTTTGAAAATTTAGCATAAAAAACTGGGTTAAACACAAACCATTGTAAATTTTGATATACGAGTATTTGATGCAATTTCGTCAGACAGTATCGGATGTAAATTATGTTTTTGTTAACAAAACGTCTATTACATATAATTTCTTCAAACAGCCGTCGAATTATATTTCTAAGAAACGTGGTCCGCCGCATAAGATCAATAACAAATTAAAACAACATGCAACCAAGCCGTCTTCAACTTCTGTCGTGGACTCACCATGACGTTGTATCAAAGCGATAAAAAGAGTTGTTTGTATACAAATAGCGATAAGCGCCACAAGCAAAATTACTTTTAACTATTTTAGTCACCATTTCTGAACTTTTACCATACGAAATTTATATATTTTATTGTTTTATCTTCTAAATAATTTTCAGAAATTTTATAAATTGTTAATTATACTTATTTTAATAAGTTATGGAGGTGCTTCCCAGGTCAAGTTTCCGAAATTTTCTAAACTATGTAGGAGAGGTTTCATTTTTTTGGTAACCGGAATGACTTAATTCATTATATGACGCAATACATTTTATGAAAATCATGCAAATACTCAATTTCTTTTCTTTTCGCATAGGTCGTTTATTCACACGCAGGTCCTAGGTGAACAACGCAAATAATTCTATGGAATTTGCCGTGATTTGCCACAAAATAGCGTCGAATGTTGATAACTTGCATCCGTTGTATATTTCAATGTCGCATTGACATTGTGCAAAATTAAAAACTAAGACGTTATTAACTGCTCACTTTGCTCATGAATAATAATCGTAGAACAATCGATTGCTCGATATGCATTCAATCAACACCAGTTGCACACCAGTTTAAATTCACCTTTAATATAGCAAACATCAATTTGAAAATTGTAATTGAAGATTGCGTCTGTTAATGCATAATGGCACTATTGCTAAAGACTACGTATGAAGCTTATAAATATGCCAGAGATGACCTAAAAGGTAATTACAAAATTAAATAATTACATATTTGTTTCATTAGCAAAACATTTTCAACTTATTTTTTATTAATAATTATAGATCCTCGAACGGCCGATTGGTTTCTGGTTCACTCGCCAATTCCAGTCATATTTATAACGGCCATGTACTTCTTCACGGTAAAAGAATGGCTTCCTAAATTTATGGAAAACAGGCCAGCATACGATCTACGTAAAGTTTTAGTATATTACAACTTACTACAAGTTGTACTTAGTGGATACATAGTTGTTATGGTAATTACCCTTGAAAATATCTATTTACTCTGTTTTATTACATTTTTGTAATTTTTAAAGGCAAGTACAAGTTTACACACATTGAATTTGACATGCTCGCCAGTGGATTACTCTGACAACCCGCATGCGATGAATTTTGCCAAACTTACATGGTTCTATTACATGGTAAAAGTTGTCGATCTATTAGACACTGTATTTTTCATATTACGCAAAAAAGAAAGCCAAGCAACTTTTTTACACATTTACCACCATTTTGGTATGTTCTTTGTGGGATGGGTGGGCACCAAGTATGTCGCCGGTGGAGAATCTGTCTTTGTCGGGATTATCAACTCGTTTGTACATGTTATCATGTATAGTTATTATATGTTTGCCGCATGGAAACCGGAAATGAAAGAGACAATCTTCAAGTTTAAGAAGCACGTCACCCAATTACAACTTGTACGTCTAATATTAACTTAATCCTGAAATGTGTAATGATTCATTAATTTTCTTCTTGTGGTGTGTTTTAGTTGCAATTCATGACATTATTCTGCATCTATTTTCCGAAACTCTTCACAGATTGTAACTTCCCGAAAACACTATTGATATTTGTTGTACCGCAAGATCTGACGATGATTATCATGTTTGGTGATTTCTACTATCATGCGTATATCAAGGGCAATGGAAAAAAGGCACAGGTTAAGGACACCCACTGACGTACGTTAGCTATTGCTGCAAAACAACGAACAATGGCTGCACAATGAGGTGCACTATTTATGAATATATAATTTTGTTTTTCTGTCTATGTATTCACGTACAAATCAGTAGAATAAATATTAATAATTTAATAAAGTCTCTATCTTTATCTGGACTCTAAAATAACCTACCTTTTCACAACGCACTACAATTTCGTAAAGATTTACATAAATTTTATTCTAATATCTTCGTTGTTTGACCCCAAACCAAGGTTTCATCACATTTCACATATTGCAATTGGAAAGTTTATGCAACATCCTTCATTAATTTTATTGATTCACGTACATTGCACTTCAAAACAAGTTTTTTGTATGATTATATCGAACTTAATTTTGCATTGTATACATTTTTGCACATGCAGGTTTAGACAGTGCTTGATTATTACCAGTCGCTTTTATGGAGTCGACCAAGACGTAGTTTTCCATAAAATTGACTCAAAAGTAAAAACTTGCAAAGATGGCGCTTCTACTAAAAACCATGGCGAATAAATACGCCTACGCCATGAGGGAAATGAACGGTATGTTAAAAATTACATTAATTTAAAATAATAATTGTTACGATCAATTTAATTTCAGATAAAAGGACCGAACATTGGTTCCTCATTGATTCTCCAATCCCAACAATCTTTCTGCTTGCATGTTATCTACTTTTTGTTTTTGAAATTGGGCCAAATTATATGAAAAACCGAAAACCATTCAATATTGATAAAATATTGATTGCGTTTAATGCAGTTCAAGTTGTAATATGTCTTTATACATGGATTTACGTAAGTTTTTGTTATGTTTAACCCTTTTTAAACAAATCTACAGTAATTTATACTTGTTTCAGTTAACTCCCTATATTTTTGTTGGTGACTTTACATGTCAAGTTATTGACTACTCACCGGAATCTACGCCGATTGCAGAAATGGCTTACGTTTATTACTGGACCAAAATTTTAGACCTTTTTGACACGGTAATATTATTAAAATATCGACAATGTGAAAATCATATTCCAACTACTTATATTTTAGGTTTTCTTTATATTACGCAAGAAAAATAACCAAGTTTCATTCCTACATGTCTACCATCATTCCATCATGGTTGCCTACGTTTGGTACGGTGTAAAATACGTTGCTGGCGGACAACTGATTTTCATCGGCGTTATCAACTCGTTTGTCCATGTAGTAATGTACATGTACTATCTTCTCACAGCTTACGATGCAGAATACAAGAAAAGCGTGTGGTGGAAGAAGCATATCACTCAACTGCAACTTGTACAATTCGGCGCCATTGCAATATGGATATTTCTACCGATGCTTAGTTATGACTGTAAATTTCCAAAAACTATTTCTATGGTTCTCTTTCCTCAAGTTCTAACTATCACATGCTTGTTTGCTGATTTTTACTATAAGACATACATTAAGAAGAGGCCTGTCAAGATAACTGAAAACAAAGAAAAGTTGGATGCTAACCAAAACATTGCAGAAAATGCAACACCAAATAAGAGTAAACTTTTAAATGTATGTAATACTAATATCTAAACTATTTCAATTAAATACTTTTTTGTTGATTGCGAATGACTTTGATTTTGAAACAACCCGTATACATTTTGAATATGTGAACTTTGAACAGGAAGTATTGTTCCATTGTTAGTGACCTAGGAAGTAAACTTTTTTACTCCAAATTTTGGTGATAACGCAATTTGAAATAATCATTTGCGTTTGTGCCTTACGCGCACCCGGACAAAATGGCACTGCTACTTAAATCTGTAATTGAAGGATATGACTATATTGTCAATGACTTGGCAGGTAATACATTGAAAGACATTTGGTTCTAAATTTAATTTCTTGTAATTTTGTAGATTTCAGAACGAAAGATTGGTTAATGGTGAAATCTCCCATATCAGTTGCTGCTTTAATTGTTGGATATCTTATGTTTGTACGCCATTTTGGACCAAAATATATGCAAAATCGTAAACCTTTCAATATTGATAAAATATTAATAGTTTACAATGCGTTTCAAGTGGTTTTGTGTACATATTTATGTTATAAAGTAAGTTAACACTTTTTTAGAAAAATAGATTGCTTTTTGGTCTAAACTTTTATGATTTTAGCTTTTTCTGCCATGTTATTATGGGAATATACTTTGTGAAGAGGTAAACGAATCAGATCATTCTACTGAAGTAGCTCATACATCATATATTTATTATTGGACTAAGATTATTGATTTATTAGACACCGTAAGTTAAAAATACACAAGTAATGCTATTTTCATATTAAAATATTATAAATTTTAAGGTTTTCTTTGTTCTGCGGAAAAACACAAGACAAGTATCATTTCTCCACTTATACCATCACTCTATGATGGTAACTTACGTATGGTACGTGATGAAGTTCTACCCTGGAGGGCAGTTTATATACGTTGGGTTCATAAACTCTTTCGTGCATATAATTATGTACAGTTATTATTTATTGACCGTGTACGACAGATCTGTGAAGAAAAGCTTCTGGTGGAAAAAGCACATCACGCAACTGCAGTTATTCCAGTTTTTCTTGTATAGTATCCTGTTTCTCCTGCCATTAACTCAGAAGCAGTGCAATTTTCCAAAAGCTTTGTGCATGGTGGTATTGCCACAAGTATCCACCCTCACCTTTTTGTTTGCTGATTTTTACTACAGGAATTATATATGTGGTAAATTAAAAGTCACTGATGGTGTTCAAAGCGTAGAAGAAAAACAATCAAGTGAGCACTTGAAACAGAATGGAAACATTACAAAAGAAGAAAATATGTTAAATGGCACTCATGGGGAATGTATTAAACAGCGATAAGGCTAACATTGTGTTATAACTTTTATATTATATGTAATTTAATATAAAACATGTTAAGTTGAACTTGTAATTTATTAAACATTAAATATTAATCCGTATTAGTTTCGTTATTTCTTCTCAATTATTTATGCAGTAGGATAACATCCTGTATATTGGGTTTCTCCTACCTGCACAACATTTACCGTATGCAGTATAATTGAAATCAATAATATAAAAATTAATTGCAAAATGTGTTGGTAAGCGCATAACTCAATAACGTCTAGACCAATTTGGCCAATTCTTCTTTTTAAATGTTCGTTAAAATCCAAGGATGGTTTTTATTGCAAGTAAAGTGGAATAATTGCCCGAAAAAGTCTAAAGACATCCTTTTTCTTTTTCCAATACAGGCGTTTTCTAACCAAAATCTAAACGAAATAAATTCCACAGCTTCCTTCGATTTTATATGGTGTTTTGTGAATTCCACAAATATAATTTGTTCTTGAAAGGGTGGTAAAAGTCAGTGGAAGCGAAGATACTTTGGTCACCCAAGCTGAACCCCATACACCGCCCTATCACCAGGGTGACGGTTCTGTTCAGGAGATTTTTTTGCGCCGACTATAAAGTAGGTAGGAACAAAAAACTGCTACATTCCAAATCTTTATGACAGAACGAAGTCTCTTGAGCCCGCTAGTGTTTTATAATTACTTCTCAAATCTGTGTTAGAATTTTGCTAAATTTAAACAGGTTTTACAACCAAAACATAAGATACATCATATATCACGATTTCGTATAAGTAGTTAGTCAGTGTTTGTACTTACTTATTACGTATATTTATGCAATATATTAACACCGGCGTGCAGAAAAAAGAAACTGTATACAATATAGTAATTTTATTAACGTACCTATAGCAACGTGATACTTAGTCTTGAACACAATGAAGCCTTCATAAAGGCAAAATCAATATTAATAAAATGAAAATCATCAAGTTCAGATAAAATTTGGGGCTCAAACAATGCGTTATAATGAAAAATGAAACGTGGTTTTGTTCTACTTATGACACACGCTTAACAATAAAGAAATTGAAAATTCATTGAATTAATAAAATATACAGCTAGATTTACGTCGTAGTGAACCCAAAAAAGTAAAACTATTTGAATTGCTAATGTGAATTTGAATTGCTACCACCGAAATTGTTTCAACTGAGGAACCCTATAACTCATTTTAAAGGTACTCCTACATATAAATACAATAGCATGAAAAATGCATAACTTTCGCGTAGCTCTGTGCATCTGCGTCAAGCCGTCGATGCATGTGCATTGAACTTAACTGATATGTTATGCAAAGGCCTCAAAAGGTTACCGCGCCACCGGCCTGCAAACCGCTAAATACCAATCCACGCCACCGGAAGTGACTTAGACGCGCGTCCATTGTGCATTTACCGACGTTACCGTTATCGCTCTTAGGAGCACACTCCTCGCGAGTAGGACAACACTTAAAGCGACGCAGGCTTACTTTGACACACACATAAAAACAATTTCGGTGCGGATTGTACCAGAGTTGGTCAGTCGGTATCTGGCGCTAAATGTAGCTAGATGTAATTCTTCACTGCCAAAATTTCGGTGATAGATACTTTTTTGAAAAGAAACCAATATGGCGCTGATGCTCAAGTCAGCACTGTCAAGTTACCATAGGTTTATTAATGATCAAGCTGGTATGTTTGCTAAAAGTGTTTGAAAACAAATTATAATTATTGTTAATCTGAATCTAAAAATTAGATGAAAGGACAACGCATTGGTTCTTTGTTCACTCGCCTCTACCAGTGGTAACATTATTAGCTGGTTATCTATTGATTGTCTGCGACGTTGGTCCCAGGTTTATGAAAAACCGAAAGCCTTACAATGTGGATCGATTAATGATTGCTTACAATCTGTTTCAAGTGTTCATGTGTGGAGTTGTTGTCGTTAGGGTAATATTTACTGATTTAAATTACAATTTTCCATTAAAATTACATTATTACATTAAAATACAATCTTTTAACACTTACCTTTTATTTGACGTTGCAGTTAGTTCCAGAGGTCTGGAAAGCGGATTTCTTCTGTGAAGAAATCAACTATGACAAGGATGCTGCTGGCATGTCTGTCCCCATTACCACATACATTATTTATTGGTTAAAAATATGCGATCTATTAGACACAGTAAGTACCACTAAAAACAATTTAATTACCATTATTTACATGATAATGCTTTTTACTAGATATTTTTTGTTCTGCGTAAAAAATACAACCAAATAACTTTCCTCCATGTGTACCATCACACAATCATGGTATTCTACGTGTGGTTGTGTTTGAAATACGTCGCTGGAGGACAAATGATTTACTTGGGATTTATCAATTCCTTTGTTCATATGGTTATGTACTTCTACTACATGATGACTGCCTACAATCCTGCGTACAAGAAGAGTCCATGGTGGAAGAAGCATATCACACAACTGCAATTGGTGCAGTTTTTTATGAGCTCAGTTTATATGACAATGCCACTCACTCAGAAAGACTGTAATTACCCGATTGCGGTGCCACTTATGGTCCTGCCTCAGTTGTTTGCAATCACCGTCCTTTTTGCAGACTTTTATTACAAAACCTACATTAGATCTAAGCCAACCATTAAACCCCTTGAAGTACAAACTAATGGAATATCAAAAGCGTCAAAAAATGAATAGCAAATTCCAGAGTACAAAATGGTGTTCCTAGCATAATGAACAAAAACAAAATGCATTAACACAGACAAAAAATCATGGCAACTATATATAACCCATACTCTCATTGTCATAATAAGCAAACATTATTCTACCAAGTTTAGTTTTGGTACAAAATGTATATTATTGTATTAATTTTAATTAATTGTGTTTTAACTATATTTGCGTCTCTACAATCTTACCTCCCTGAAAAGTTGCAATCCAGTGAATGTCTCTTGCATCTGATTTCAATTGCAATACCCAAAACTGAACCAATTGTATTTTTTGGAGCGTCACCTTTCAAAGCGCCTGACCTTCCTGACCATACTATAATATTCTATGATCCTGCATTGTCAGATCACTACAACACGATACCAAACTCATCTGATTCATTATACGGACAAAATTTTATACTTTTCGAGAAATACACCAACTCACACCTCCAAACGTTAATTTCCTCCTTGATCAACTCACCTTTGTTTAACATCAGACACAGTACCCGTGGCCGTTACATAGTTGTAGCTCCTCTCGTCGAGTTTAATGAAGATCTCTTTAAACTTCTCTGGCACATGGAAATCATACAAATTGTTTTTGTTTTAAAAGATAACAAAATATACTCGGCATCACCATTCTCCTACGCAAATCAATGTGGCACTCAAGTAAAACAAATCGACTACTTTGGAAAGTGTACGGATGTCTCAACAATTCCATTCAGTTACCTTTCAGATGTTTTCAATGATCTGAACGGTTGTCCGATTCGAGTACAGCTAAACGGGAATCAAATACAGCGGCCATTCATAATTTATCAACATGAACCCAGACGAAATGGTATGTTCGTTCAATTGCTGAATACGATCGCATCCATGATGAATGCCACTATTGAATACTACTGGAAGTCGAGCGAATATCAAATTGAACATGTCGTTAAAGACCTGCTTGATAAACATATAGATTTGTATGTGCCATTGTACAACGTTCGATTGGACATGGAGATGTTTATAGAACTCACATCGCCGATTTACAGAGGAAAATTTGTTTGGGTGTTGGCGAAAAGTCGTACCAATGATATTTCTGTAAATCTCAGACATTTTCGTGGTATCGAATATAGCTTCCTCTTATCTTGTATCCTGTTTATTTTATGGTTTAAACTATTTGGACTAACAAAGAACAACCTGTTTCAGTCTGTTACTAATAGCTTGACGTTTTTCATTACAATTTCACTTCAACAGACGTCCCGACAACGTTTGACGAGTTACATTAGTAAATATCTGGTGTTTCTGCAAATTTTATTAACATTCATGTTAGTAAAGTTCCTGGAATGCGTATTGAGTTCCGCAATGACGACACGGAGACCTGTCAATCTAATACAAACCGAGGACGAGTTATTTCATTCAAATCTTCAACCTTTGGGTTTCAAACCACCGGGTGGGAGACATATTGATAGTTTTAACGTGGATTTCATAAGTAGAATCATCGAGAGGAATGAAGGAGTGAGAAATGTTTTGAATGATGTTGCAAGCAATAACAACTTATCTGCGTACATTCCCGAAGTCGTTCTAAATTCATATCCAAAAATTAAGGACAGATTACGTGAATTACCGCCAAAATACGAATATGTGTTATTGTATGCAAGGATTGTAAGTCGCAGAGGTTATCATGCGATGGAAGTAGTGGCTAATATCTGCGAGATGATGGCAAACACAGGCTTGTATGAAAAATGGGTTGAGGATTATACTGCATTTGATGATTATGGATATACCGAAAACACTGCAGAGGAAGAAATTTCACATTTGTTTGATATTAGCATGATTTACGTGTATTTTGTTTGCTTTGCCACGATGGTTTTCATCATAGAACTGGTTTGGTTCCATGGCAAATCTTATATAAACAAAAACTATCTTACTTCAACACAGAATTGAAACAAAACTGTTTATTTACACAATCAATCAGTTACAATATTCTTTTTACATTGATTAAGTATAAAAAATACAACAATAACCTTGGTTTTCTTCATATATATAGATATATATGGATAACTTCTTAATATAATCAACTAGAAAAACAATAAAATTGTATAATTTAGCATTGATTGAAGCGGCTGTCACTGAAAAACATGCCACATAATGAAAATAACGTGTATGTGTGGATATTTAAATAAAACCGTATTCGTTTAGTTCTGTGTCCTTCGCGTTTTGAGAATCGCCATTTTGTCTTGACGCTGAAACTAGTGGCTAAAAAAACGATTGCGTCACACGATAACAACCACGAAACAAATCCGTATTGCATGTATGAACGTCATTTTGGTGGTATTTACATTTTAGTATTCGTTTCTTCAACTAGCTATGTATAAGTTTCTTCGTTTCAATAAATTTCCGTATAAAAATTAATAAATTTAACAACTACACCATAGTAAAAATATAGCACCTATAGGTATAATATATCTTTGTCTAAAACATTTGTATTCTCGGTTGTTTTTAGCGTGTCTCGTTTGTTTTGTTTGTTATTGATTCTTGTTGTTTTCCTAATCTTAATCTAAGTTGTTTTATTTTTTTGTAAACACATGTTTAATCGTTAATTTGTGCTAAGTTTTTTTTTGTTTAAATTGAGCATAAGAATTGTCTTACTCTCGGGTCCATCTTCGCCAATACCTTCCTTGCTACCATAATTTCCGTTTTTGTTTCGAACATTAACACCCTCCTCGAATTGAATTTAACAAATAACAATATTAATGTTCACCTGCACCACACATTGTGTTTATACGCTAGAGTACTAATTATTTCGACTTTCGCACCGGTCGGAAGAAACAAATGGTAACAATTCGATCCTTATTCGCCGCACGTGTGAACTCGTTAGAAATTGCTTAGTATTTGGTATCACCATTCGAGTTGATGTAGTAATCGCGCGCTGTTTGGCGCTGATGCACACCGTTCTTTTCTTTCACAACACCATTTTGGACGCCATTTTGATAGCCATTTTTAACGTGTCCGTTCGTGGTGGGTTTCTCTTTCGGTTCGTGCTTCTTGCCATTCTTTTCCTTGTTTTGCGCGGCGGCAGCAGTGGCGGCAAGGGCGGCAGCCCCCTTGGAACGCTTCAAATAGCTCTCCTCGTAGAACTGCTTGAAAAGGAAGAAGAAGAGAATGCCATGCATACCAATCCACCAAACAAACGCACGCGGATAGTTGCAGTCAATGAAGAGAAGTTGGAAGGCGTGAACAACAATAGCGACAAATTGAACCTACAAAAACAACATTTTATACTCATGACCTAAAATATAATATGTTAAACAAACAACGTACCATTTGCATAGTGGTAAGATACTTCTTCCACCAGAGATATTTCTGAACTGAAGGACCACAAGCGCTCAGCATGTAATAAGTGTACATCACAATGTGGACAAATGTGTTCAAAAATCCGAAGAACATACTATGACCACCTAAAACACACAAAACACAAAAAAATATTTTAAATATGTAGTAATAGTAACAGGTAGTAATTGTTATCGCGCTATGTTTGTTAAAACATAACATATTCGAAGCATTAACCGCTAAGCTGTAAAGTCAGACGATAACCAAAGCAAACATTATGCAACTGCTAAACGGAGTTGAATGTAATCCGCCTACGATTAAACAATTTAATCACAGTGCATAAATAAATAGCCGCCAATTAAAACAAAATTGTAATTACGTGTTCAAGACCGAATATAATAATTTGAATTTGTAATATTTGCGAGAAATAAAAAAAACTAAGCGATAGTATAACACAACGAGCACTCAACACCCGAAAATAATTAATTGCCATTACGCAAATGCGTTCAGATTAGCAACAATTCATTAACTATGTGGGTGAGACTCACCTGGCGTGAATTTAACGCCGAACCATACGGACATCGGCATAATACCGTGGTGTATCACGTGCAAGGTCGAAATCTGGTCGTTCTTCTTCCGCAACACGAAAAATAGCTGCGAAACAAAATCAAACAATTAAGGCACGTTTACTACGCAGGGCTTTGTCTCAAATATTTGCACACGTTTAGAAAACAATTTAATGTGTAATTTGTGTAAATTACCGGCGCACAAAACGAATACGAAATTAATTTCACGCAGTTTAGAAACAGATTTATGTTAAGGTGTTATTTAAATAATTAAATTGTTTAGTGATGCTCACCGTGTCGATGAATTCCGTGAATTTCGACAGGTAGTACATGTAGCACGCTCGTATCGCCTAAAACACGTCCAAAACAAGAAACATATTAAATTTACATCACGATCATCATAAATTTTAATGGTCAATCATATGTAGAATTAAAAATAAAAGTAAAAACAATACAAATGTAACAAAATTGAAAGGTAGACGTACTCTGAGAGCATTTGGTGAATTCGAATAGTCTACCGGTTCGCATCTATAGCTGTATCGTCCTGTCAACCAACCAACAGCACCAATCTAAAAAACAAATAACAACAAAAAAAAGTCATTAGAACTAATGATTTCCTGTAACATTTTGAATCATTTCTGATTTCGATCGCTTTTGAATTTACGCCAGCAGGACAATCCTGACGATATGACGATACTGTTAACACATTTGTTTATTTCGGGCATAAACTTGGCTAAAAATAAACCGACAGCGTAGCGGCGATCGAGGTGAGTCGTGACATCAGCGCCACTTTTCGACTGACGCTATTTTTACTCGAACTCATTCGGCCATTGCTCAAAAATCAGTTTTTGAACTTTAATTTACAACTTACTTCGTAAAATATGTACGCGCTGAGAAGGACCTGCAGAAAGTTGTAGAAAATGAGCGTGTTCTTCAGATTCAGTGGCTTGCGATTCTCCATCAACTTCGGTCCGATGTACTGCAATCAAACACATTACGTTGATGTTAATCGCGCACTAATCGTCAACGATTATTATCGCATTCATCATAGTTACAAATGAGCGAAGAATGCAATTTGATGCGATGATGACATACCTTTACAATTATTACATAAGATATACAGATGCCTAGCGTGTAAAATGGACTCGATATAAGCGGTAGATGTGACGTTCTTGGATCTGCAATAAAAGTCATATTCAAAATTAAAAACGCATTAGATGGTGATAATCCCACATGCAAACATTACATAAATGCCAAAAACAATGAAAGTTGCCATTACCTGCATATTTGTTTATAAATCGGTTAATATCACCCATGTACTTAAAGACCAGCGACATCTTGATGGATTGTAAACGAAATCTGCAACAAGTAATGAAATTGTTACACAAGAACGGCAATAAACCTTCAAATATTTAAAATATTTAACGATCAAAAACACATTCTAACTTTGACCCTGGTAAATGTCTTAAATGTCTTAAGTGATTGGTCAATTCGACAAATATTATTAAACTATAACTTTTGTTTGAATACAAAACGAAAAATTACCTGTAGTAAACATTACCTCATAGTATTACTAGTTACATTTTATAGTTTTAATTCTTTGTAAAATTAGCATTGTACAAGTTTTACGATCTTTGCAACATAACAACACTTGCTTCTCTTGCGCCAAGCGTTGATTGCAACCACGACTAATGAACTAATCAAAATCCACTACAACACCCAGACAGCCAGTCTCAAGTTGGTTTCGTTTGCGTTTTATTTGCCTGATGGCATCGGTGCGTGACACAAATAAAGCAGTTACTAATTAGACGCCCAGTCAAAGCGAACCAAGTCGAATCTAAGAAAATGTGATTAGCGGAATTGCACTCCGCACTCCTTCTCAACATTTGTTTATTATCCGAGCAACCAGTTTCCTCGTCGGGTGATTAGCTAATTATGTGTTAACAACTTCATAGGAATAAGATAACAGGAATTTGAATAACTGTTCAATAACCCAGAAAAAATATTAAATAAAATATGAATTGCATTGGTAGTCATCTATTATACGTAATTTTGGGCAATTGCGTGTAAGTCGTATGCTGTGGAATTGATGGCATGATATTAGACATTCGATATTTATGAATCATTCCAGCAATATTGATATGACTGCATGGAAAAACGGGAAACGTTTTATGACATTGATCACGTTTTACGGCATTAGCGTGGGCTTATCGCGTTAGTCTAATCAATTAACCACCATAGTCAACGGCAATGAACATCAACTGACGATTCATCAAAAACCATACGAAATGTGAATAAATAATAAATTCCTATCTATTTATTAGTGCATTTCAAGCAGGAAATTTATTCCTGTCAATGTTCGTTGATCGCGTGGTCGAAATATTAATAACTTAATTAATCTACACATCATTATATCTAGATATGTCAATAAAGAATAAATTTTGTGGTCTGGTTCATCAGAAAATTTATTTTAAGCATAAAATATGAATTTGATACTTTGTTTAAAAATGTATTGTGTTTTGCTCGGGCCCACCCACGCGATCAAACATTGCGTCATGAAAATCGAGTTTCGAATGTATGAATGGTAGAAAACGCAGACTCGAAAATGCAATCGTAACTCAACAATAGCGGCACAGCATCAAAGCAGAGCAAGAGTACAAAGTACAATCAATTGAAATCCAGTGGACACAATCAAGGTACAAAGTTACTACATTTTGCAAAATATATAAACACGACCTACTGATACGACCATGACATAGAAACAATTTAAACTTTAACAACATTACAAAATATCATACATAATTTTAATTTATGTAATTTGTTGAGCCAATCGTCAATTTAATAAAAACAGAAATAATGTAGACATCATACTTGTGATGTGTGGTGAATGAAGCCAGAAAAGCATTAATCAAAAAATAATTTAATAGACGTCTTTAAAGTGCTCGTGTTGCGAGCGATAAACTTGTACGTACTTAACCTTAACCTAGCTCTGGACACAACCTAACTCAACTCTTATAAAGAGATTAAGTTAATGAATTATTCGATAAATTTATTGCTCTATCTTTTTTCTTCAGAATTTTTTTCCAACCAAATTAGTCACTCAAATATGAGAAAGTGTTTCTTTTTTTATAACAACGCCTCAATAGTCAAATCCTGTGGCCTTAATCCACTGTTTGTTTTGTTATGTCATGGGCAATCATCGCATTCTTCTTCGTCGTAATCGCCGTTTGTCGATTGCCTCGTCCGGTGAGAATGGACAAACATTTCGCCGACGTGGACGTCGCTGATGAAAGCGAAATTTCTACGAGTGGCTCCGACAGGTAAGCGATAAGTTAGAGCAATGCGCAATAATCACGCCAGCAAGCAATATAAAAGCAATCAGCGACGTGCGCGATGAGCAAATGTGCCAGTTAGCGGCAATCGAGGTGAGTGTAAGTGCCAAACTGCCGACATTTCGACAATGGACCCCCGGCGACAAGTCGGTCATCACTGACGAGCGAGAGTGAAAGTGGATTTTAATATTCCCATCATTTTGCAAACAATTATTAGCATCATTAAAAAATCATCTTTGTGTAGGCAAAATTTGAAATTTTTTGAAATATTAAAATATTGAAAAAGAGCAAGTCATTAACGTATAAAACCGCCACAAAGGAAAAATTAGAGCAAAGACCGAAGTGACAAACAATAGCGCCGACGCAGTCACCTCTCGCACTCTATTGTTTTGACATTTTTCTTCGTTTTGAATGGCGTCGAAGATCTACTTTCACACGCTTTTCAATCGATGATTGCGTTTTATTTAACTGCACATACATTTTTCGTTCTCAAAATTATTTTCTTAGAAAACAGACACAAGAAATAAATAAAATATAAACTTACCCTATTTGCACAATTATTTTAAATCGACTGTTTTATCGATATTTTATTACATACATAACACTAATTTAAACATACGTACTTTTACTTTCAATAACATCCACAATATGTAAGTAATCTGTCAATAACTATTAAATGCACAATGAGCACTACTGAATGCCTGATGATCGTCTATTGTCCATAATTAATGATCGTTGAACACACGCAATTAGCAGCGAGGTAGTAACGCTTGTCACAACAAAACTGGATAAACTAATCGGACATTCCAGTTTTTCACACATACATAAAAATGAAATTCGCATTATCACACATTATGCGCGCGATGTGAGCACCACTACGAGTGTACGATGAATGAACGGAACATGGACACTAACGAACTGAAGATCTCAAATGTCATATGGTGGGGCAGGCATTACCCACAGGGATTAAATTAACACAATGTAAATATAGTATGGGTATTTCCAGTAACAGTAACACGTTCTAATTGTTTATGTGTTTGATCTTTTTCGAATGTTTAGATTTGAACACATTGTATATTTTTTGAGTAATGAGCAAACACATGTCGTACATGTGCAAAAGTCTGTTTGATTAAACAGCGGACGTTGGCGATTTACGAGCATGAATTTAACAATTGGATAGTATAATGAAATATATATTTAATCAAATGTCAACTATTGTTATTAATAACAGCAAATATTTCATAAGCGATAAGAATGAATTTAAATATTCTTTCATAAATCAATTCTATAATCAATTCTTTATCTATTTAAGCAAAAATTATGTTGAAAATAATTATAAATCAAAAGTTACGGGACAATTTGTGTCAGATTATATTTTTTTCTAAAAGCGTAATTAAATTGTTTATGGCTTATTAGGCAATAATCATGTCAACCAAATATTTAGATTCTTAGATGTAAAATTTAATTGTGAATACATTTCTGCAAGAATTATCATTTTATTACAAATAGTTTGGGAATAATTAAATTTAAAAGGCGTCGCAGTGATTTACAAAAGCGTAATTTTTATATATGATGTAAAATTAAATTATTCACACCTAAAAAAATCAATTTATTGATGTTGTGTGTGCACGCATCGAGAATAAATATCTATGTCATAATTTGAATGTTGTATAAGTTATAAAACATCGACTAATTTAAACAATATTAACTTTTAACACGATCTCGACACGATGCCGACAAACGCCAAACACGGACTCAATGATTAACAAATTAATAACATTAATAACACTTTCTGATTTCCTGCCTGTGCTCGAAACACATCAAAACTTTTTCTGACCTGACAAATCCGGAGTAGTAGAAATAATTTCTGCGGTTTTATGTTAATATTAATAGAATTTTCAGTAGGTAAGTGAAAGGTTCGCATTCATTCGTATCTAAAACACATAATAAATTACAAGTTTTGATTTGATTTACAGCTTGAGTTGAGTGTGATTCTGTAATTTGTCTAGCGCGTTTTTAGAGCGAAGCAGAATCAATGTGTATGTGTAATTGAAATTAATTTCAATTCGCCAGCGAAGCGACGAAAGCAATAAGCAATATCGAATCAATTAAATTATAAAAGTATATGCGTCTAGTCATTTCACGTCGTTCACCTACATAATGAATAAGTTGTGAACGCGGCGGGCGCGCGGTAATAAAACGTCAAATGGTCATAGTCACAGAGGTCGCACGCACGCAATTAACAATTACGCATTGTGCTCACCTTATTTAATAACAATTGACTATTTCATATGACATAACATTATCTGTGTGCATGCGGATTATTCACTAAACAATTGTAGCTGTTATTGATTATTTATTGATTTGACGATATTGACAATTTCGCTATCGTTTCGTTTTCGGTTGCAAAATGTTTGCGCATTGGCTGCGTCTCGAAGTGGCAGTCGAAGTTGACAAAACTTATGCAACGTGTTTCCACATACCGTTCGACCGAAACACCTGTTGCATACAAAGTGTTCCAAACGTGATACGGTGATTTTCGTGATTCTCGTGACTTTTGATTGCATGTTCAAACAAGTGCAAAGTTTTGCAAATATTTTAACTTAATTTTCAACTCGTTTAAGGAGTTGTTATTAAATAACGTATTTATTAAAACTTTTTAAGGCACGTAAACAGTGTGTAGATAATATTACACCTTAGCACATATAAGTTAAGATCGTAAATTAAGTAGTTAGTTGAGTTGGTGGTTTGCAAAGCTTATAAATTCGTTGGTGGCACACATATCGCAATAGAGGCATTGCGATCGATGCGTGTCGATTTTAACATTTTATCGCGATCGCGACATCGCCTCGGAATGTCGATTACTGCTGACGTAGAATGACGCTACATTAACCTCTGCAGGTAATTGCATACGAGAAGATAATTTTTGCCTTTTGTTTGTTTAATTAAATTTCTCTACTAAAAACCGCCAGATTGTAGATGAGAATGCAATTATCTTTTCTATTTTCACATTTAACACGCTTGAAC